TGTCAGAGTTCAGTAAGAGGCAGGAAAGACTAACTCCCTCTGCAGTTGCTAAGCAGTAAGGATTGCGAAAACAGCGGTTAAAAAAAAGTATACGAAAGAAAAGAAAAACTAAATCGACCCGTCTTAAGAAAATAACTCTTGAAAAAAATGCCTTTGGGACTGAGATCTGAGTGAAAAAAAGGGGAAAGTCGCTTAGGGCTCGCAGAAAAAAAACTAAAGTGAGTTAACCTAGTGGGGAAAGCATATACTCTGACCTTTAAAACAGCACATAAGTTCCCCCAAAGGGGTGCACCGTTCCTGGAAGTACTGCAATACCAGGTCGATGCGTGGAGTGGACGGAGCAAGCTCCTATTCCAACTCCCTGCTCCAAAAATCCGTTTAATATATTGTCCTCGGATAGAGGACGTATCAGATATTAAACTGATAAGAACAGATACTACACTTGATCTTAGCCAAAAGGCCGAGAAGCGATACCGTACCACTCGCCCTTCGCCCTCACCACCCTCCGCTCGCCCACTTTCAACTCCCGGTGAGCGCCGCCACGCCTACTCCCACTCTCTTTATCTCGTGTCTCCTTCGGGCTCGCAAGGGGTCCACTGCCCCCGCGTGCAGATTCACCATTCGCCCCACCTGGAACTAGGAATTTTAACAGCCCGTCCGGGCTCCGGCATTCGGGGCTGAGCAGCCCTCCCCTACTTTGCATGCCCCGCCCCTTCCCCGGGGAGGCGTGGCTACCGCCAGGGACTTCCTCTCTCGCCCCCACCCACTGACAAAACTGAACTCTGGGGGTCGGGGGGACTGGGACTGGGCAGCTAGAGACAGCTGTGAGCGGGCCCAATTTTCCCAAGGACGCCGTTGGGAGACATTTACAAAAGACCCCCAGGCTGTATGTTTTGTTGTTGTTGTTTTATAATTGTTATTGTTGTTTTTATAATTCCAGTCCTTTAAGATATTCTTGATGATTTCTTTTTATTTATTTATTTATTTATATTTATATGGTGTCGAGGATCAAACCCAGGGCCTCGCGCGTGCTGGGCGAGCCACAACCCAGCCCTGACTGTATGGTTTTAATTTGTTCTTTGCCAGCGGAGCGGAAGACCAGCTTCGGACCTGACCGGTCTGGGAGAGGCTTGTTCTGAGTCAAGGCGATCCGGAGGTCCTCTCTGCAAGGGGGCAGGCTGGTGGCTGACAGCCGGAGAAGGCAGCAAGCTCTTCAGGTGGGGCGAGCCCCGCAGGTCAGAGGGAGGGATTCCCCCCAGCTGCAGAACCTTAGCCAGTTGGCGCTTGTAAAAATGATCGTCGTCCAGAGCTTGGTCCCCTTACAGCTGCCTCTGCCCGACGAGGTTTCCTTTCTCCCTGGTTCTCACGTGGTGGCTGGGCTACATCCTCAGCTCTTTTTTTTTTTTTTTTTATCTTTTTTTTTTTTTTTTTTGTACCAGGGATTGAACTCGGGGGCACTCGACCTCTGAGCCACATCCCCAGCCCTATTTTTTGTTTATTTAGAGACAGGGTCTCACTGAGTTGCTTAGTGCCTCCCTCAATTACTGATGCTGGCGCCACACTGGGATCCTCCTGGCTGGACTCCTGAGTTGCTGGTATTTCAGTCATGCGCTGTATTGCCCGGCTCAGTCCCTTTTTTTCCCCCTTTATTTTATTTTTATGTGGTGCTGAGAATCGAAACCAGTGCTTCACACATACTAGGCAAGCTACAACTGAGCTACAACCCCAGCTCCCAGTCACTTCTTAATGGCAGAGAGAACTCCGTTTGGGATTCTCCTCCTTTAGGACGCCTTCCATAAGAAGGGCTCTTTCACACACACACACACGAATATATTGCTATAATTACCACCAATATCGAAAAAAATCAAATCTTCCTTAATTGTACACAAAATCCGTGCCTTCTGGATAATTTAATATTACGCATGTGACTCACTTATCTTTAGCAGGCTCACTTCATAGGCTAAGAAGTTAGTTCAGAAAACCTAAGCAATTGGTCAAGGTCACACAGCTAGTATGAAACACCATCAGAATTTGGTCCTATGTTTCTTTTAACTTCATGGGGTGGGGTGTCTTCAATTTTTGTTTTATTTGTGTGTGGGGATTGAATTAAGGGTGCTTCACCACTGAGCCACATCCGGAGCCCTTTTTAGTTTTTATTTTGAAACAGGGTCTTGCTAAGTTCCTGATGCTGCCCTGTACTTGCGATCCTCCTGCCTCAGCCTCTGAAGTGGCTGGGATACAAGTGTGAACCACTGTGCCCAGGGTCTTTATTTTTTAAGACTGTATAGCGGGAATGATAACACTTCTCTAAGTAGGCTTCTTATGAAGCTACAAGGGGAAATGCAGAGTGTGTAGGAATTTGTTAAGTGCATGCCAGAGAAAGCCACTTCTCTTCTGCAAAATAGGAATAATATCCATCTTACAGAATCTCCCCCTGCCTGTCCTGGGCATTCTTACTTCTTGTCCTACCTTGCCTGGCTTTCTTTTTTTTTTCCATTCATCTTCCTCTATCATATAGGGTCTTGTGCATGCTAGGCAAATGCTCTACCTCTGAGCTAAATTGAGCCCATTTTTTATTTAATTTTAAAAAATGTTTATTTTTTAGTTGTAGTGGGACACATACCTTTATTTTATTGATTTTTATGCGGTGCTGAGGATCGAACACAGAGCCTCTCCCATGCTAGGCAAACACTCTATTGCTGAGCCACAACCCCAGCCCTAATTTTTATATTTGCTTAAGAACTGCTCTTGTGTGTGTGTGTGTGTGTGTGTATACTGTGTGTTTTGGGCCTTTGTGCATTTCCCTTCCTAAATGCAGTTTGTCTTTTATAATTATTTCTGGGAGATCTTTATATTTTAGAAAGATACTTTTTCTTTAGTATATATTGTAATTTTTTTTCTTAATTTGGTACCTTCGTTATCCTGTGTGTTATTTTAAGTTTTTATTATGGAGATATTTTTAAAATATTTTTTTGGTTATACATGGACACAATATCTTTATTTTGTTTATTTTCGTGTGGTGCTGAGGATTCAACCCAATGTCTCACAAGTGAGAGGCAAGTGTTCTGCCACTGAGCCACAACCCCAGCCCCTTATGGAGATTTTGGTGTGTGTGTGTGTTTTAGTGTAGTCAATTAATTATTGTTTTCTTGCATGTTTTCTGAAGTTTGAGACATCATTAAAAAACCTTCCGGTTAAAGTGAATTTTCTCAGTTTTTTTCCCCCTAGATTTTTTCTTTTTCCTATACTAGGGATTGATCTTAGGGCTTTGGGTATGCTAGTTCAGCTGTATACCAATAAGCTACTGCCTCAGCCCTATGGTTCCATTTTTTTTTTTTCACTTTGAATTTTTGACCCACTTGGTATTATCTTTGTGTTTTGAGATAGGACTGCAACTGTATGCTATCTCGATAATTACTCGGGTCTTGCAACAATATATAGACTGACTCCATGACTGCCCACATAATTTGTTGGGTCTGATTTAAAATGAAAATGAGAGTCCTTTTAAAAAAAAAAAAAAAAGAAAAGAAAAACATGCCATTGCAAAGTAGGGTGACTATGGATAACAAAAATGTAGTATAGATTTCAAAAATCTAGAAGAAAAGGTTTATTTTTTGGTGCTGGGGATTGAACCAAGTGGCATTTTACCACTGAGTAAAATACACAGTCTTTTTTATTATCTTGGGACAGTTGCTGAAGGTGATTGGCTGGCACATGGTGGGCACTCAATAATGAATGGCAGGCCCTTTTTTTTTTCCCTCAAGATACTAAGGATGGAACCGAGCCCATCTCAGCTGTGGGGGGAACTGATTCAAGAAGCTGGACACGTGGGTGCTGAGGGCCAAACATGGGGAGCTTGTTCTAGTTCTTAAAATAAGGGGGTCCGCTGGTGCCTTTATTTGAGCTTCACCACCCCCTAGGGGAGCTGTGTCATCAAGACCCAATTCCCTTTTCTCAGCAGTGGGGGCAGCAGAGAGCAGCAAAGGCAGTCCATGCCAGAAGGGCATTTATCCATTTTGTGCTTACCTGTCCCATGATAAAACCAAGGTCTAGAGAGAGAAAGTCAAGGACACCAGGTGGTGGACAGACCGAGGCTCAAAGCCCAGCCTTCCTGTTCAGAGCCACTAGATCAGGTGGCTACACTCCATGATGGTGTCTGGTTTTATCCCAAGATGAACATTCCCTGTACCCCCCACTTTCATATTTTTACATGTCAGAAAACAGGATGCATCTTATGTTTGATGCCCCAGAAAGCAGTGCTGCCATTCTGGGACAGAGTCTGTCTTCTTTGCTTTCTTAGGGGTACAGAAAACAATAATGCCTCTCACAATCCATGACATGTTAGACATTGTGAAATTTTATAATAAAAAAGTCTCCACTGAGTCCTGTGTTTGACAGATTTTTTTTTCTTTATATTTTTTTTTCTTTTTGGCCATACTGGGGATTAAACCCAGGGCTCACTCATGCTAGGCAAGCACTCTAGCATTGAGCTACATCCCCAACCCTTTTTATTTTATTTTGAAAGAAGTTCTCACAGAATTGCCCAGTCTGGTCTCAAACTTGAGACCTCAGTTTCTTGAGGAGCTAGGACTGCAGGCATGTTCCACTGCACCTGGCTCTCCATTGCAATATTTTTAGAGTTATTTTATATGAATATAAATGTGCTGTGAAGATAGATATCCAGTAATTAGCCTCTATTTCATCTATTGTATCTGGCGACTCTCATAAACCTATTGTTGCAAACAACAGCACTCCTTGGTGCTGGGAGAAGGGACCAGCAACTGTTTTACCAAAGGAGAAAAAGATCCAAAAAGGTTCAGCATCCCTCTGGGCCCAGAGCAGAGCTGTGAAGTCCCTATCAGCTGTTCATATTTGGATGCCCCACTATGAGAGCTGGTATTTCCAGGCATTCCTTGAGGTCAACAAATAACCTTCACAGGGAAGCCTCCAAGACTGTGGTCTGCCTAAGTCCCCTCAGCAAATATGTGACAGAGCCAGGATTGAATTTGAATCTGTTTAATACCAAAGTACAAGGTAACTCCACTACACAGCTAGGATTAACAGGTTCTTTGGAGCTGATCTGATACAAAGGTTGCTTTCCACCCTTCAATGAAGGTTAGTGGATTTTGTATTTTCTTTTATCTTGACTCAACACAGACATTTATGGAAGGGGGAGAGTGAGGAAGAAGAGACAAAGGAGTGAGGAAAAGTAATTTCAGAGAATTTGGAGGGAGAGAGGGTCAACAGAGGGCCAGTGGTTGCTGCTGGAAACCCCTCAGGAGAAGTAGGGGGGAAAAGCCAGAAAGAAAAATGAGGAGACTTCCCTGCAGAATTGTTCCTGGGGCCCACTGAGACTTCACACTAAGATGGGAAAGTGCCTTCTATCTGCTCAGGACCCTGGAGAGAAAGAAAGGAATTTAGCAGACTTACAGGTGTTTACCAGGAGCCTTGAGAAGAACAACCCCCCCACGCCACCAAGGCAGGGTGGGGGACCTGCCCAGTTGCCCTGGCAGTGGCCACATTGTGAGGTGGTTGTGGTTATAGGCAGTGCATTTGGGGTAGGAGGTGACAGAGGTGGTGGGGGCACTGTCCTGGGCTGCCTGCCCCCACCTCCTGTTGGGGCTTCCACCATCCCACCATCATGGGTAGTGCCTACCACTGGGAAGCCCGGCGCCGACAGATGGCTTTGGACCGGAGGAGGTGGCTAATGGCTGAGCAGCAGCAGCAGCAACAACAACAGCAGCAGCAAGAACAGGTACATGGGAAGGACCAGGTCCAGCAGGGTTCTCCATGGAGTAGGAAGAAAACGGGGAAGACAATCCCCTAGGGAGAAGGCTGCTATTTGGTGAATGTTGCTTACTGGGGTAGGAGGGAAGCAAGGTCATTTAGAATTCTCTCAGAGAAACTATGGTGGTGGTGGTGAGTTATCACCTTAGTTTTGCTGTTGTAGGCTGGTGGGTACAGGGATATTTGGCCTGGGAGGGTTTTTGTTTGTCTGTTTGGGACTGAGAATTAAACCCAGAGGTGCCTAACCATTGAGCTACATCCTCAGCCATATATATATATATATATATATATACTTTTTTTTTTTTGAGACAGAATCTCACTAACTTACTTAGGGCCTCAAAAAGTTGCTGATGCTGGCTTTGAACCTGCAATCCTCCTGCCTCAGCCTCCCAAGTCACTGGGACTACAGCATGTGCCACTGCGCCCAGCATGGCTGAAAGGTTTTGAAGCTGGGCTGTCTAATATAGTTGCCACCAGCCTGTAGGCTATTGAGCTACTGCAATGTGGCTAGTGAGAATGAAGAGCTGAGTTTACTATTTTATATAAATTTGATTAATTTAAATATAAAATTTTTAGAACAAATATTCAACTTACATATTAGAAAAATTTTAGGAGTGTTTGGTGTAACTCAGATGTCTAAATCTACATTATCTTCTTCTTTTGTTTTAAATACTTTTTAGTTGTATATGGACACAATACCTTTATTTATTTATCTTTATGTGGTGCTGAGGATTGAACTCAGGGCCTCACACATGCTAGGTGAGTGATCTACCACTGAGCCACAACACCAGCCCCCTAAGTCTCCATTTTCTACTGTAAATTTTATGAAATTTAAAGAAGATCAGAAAGAAAAAAAAAAGAAGTAATTAGAGATCAACAATTTTGGTGAAAATTTAGTGTTCAAATGAAGATGTGCTATTAAATATAAAAGGTATACTGTGTTTTGAAGACTTGGTATCAAAACAAAGAACATAAGATATTAATTTTATTTTTTGGTACCAGAGATTGAATGCAGGGAGCTTAATTACTGAGACATATCCCTAGCCCTTTTTATATTTTATTTGGAAACCAGGACTTGTTCAATTGCTTAGGTCTCGCTAAGTTTCTGACTTTGAACTCCTAATCCTCCTGTCTTGGCCTCCTGAGCTGGTGGGATGACAGGCATGTGCCACTGAATGTGGCTGAAATATTTTCATATTGATCACAGGTTTGGGATGTATTTGGTTAAATAAAATATATTAAAATTAACAGTACATGGTGATATCCTGCTAATCCCAGTACTTGGGATACTGAGACACGTGGAGTGCAAGGTCAGGAACATCCTGGGTAATTCTGGATGCAATCTCAAATATTAAAGAAAGAAAGAATAGGCCAGTAGATGTAGCTCAGTCTTAGAGACACCCTGGGTTCAATTCCCAGGACTGCGGCGGGGGAGGGATATATATATATATATATTTTTTTTTTTTCGTTTTTCATCTGTTCCTCCTGATCTCGTGTGTGGCTACTAGAATATGTAAATTACACATGTGGCATACATTGTTTTATTGGACAGTGGTGGTTCAAATTAAGGACTTGGTGGCAGGCGGTGGCCGTGGCGGTGGGGAATGCCTGTAATCCCAATGGCTTGGGAGGCTGAAGCAGGAGGATGGTGAGTTCAAAGCCAACGTCAATAATTTAGCAAGGCCCTAAGCAACTCAGAGAGACCCTGTCTCTAAATAAAATATAAAAATGGACTGGGGATGTGACTCAGTGGTCAAGCACCTCTGGGTTCAATTCCCTGTGTCCCCCCCACCCTACCACCCCCCAAAAAAAATCAAAGTAAGGACTTATTCTTTATCCTCTGGCAATGAAAATTCCTTTCAGTGCCCGGCTCCAAGCCAGGCTCAGATGCTCAGACAGTGCCACCTCCTGGGAAGAGGCTGTGCTGGGTGGCACAGTCCCAGGAAATACTTCTTGGGTTTTGTGGCAGGTGAGGGAAGGCAGCCTGGGCCCCAGCTTCAACCTCCAACTGCAGGGAACAGAGATGCTTCTAACCACCCTGGCCTCTCTATTCACTTGCCTCACTGTCTCAAACCTCTGTGGCCTCTGGGTGACAGGGTGGGAGGGTGGAAGATGCCACTTGGCTGGAGCTTCTTGTCAGCAACCAAAGAAACACCAAGTGGAGGAATACCGATCTGAGAAAAAATCCCAAACATATCAGGAGTTGGAGGAGTCCTGGGCTTCCCCCGCACAGCTGCACCAGCCATTCGTGCAGCAGAAGCCACCAGCGCAGCCGAAAACACCAGCAGAGCCAAAGCCACCAATACAGCAGCCACGGCAGCAGCCACCACAAGCACAGCTTCTGCTGCTGCAGCCAGAGCCACTGCCACCACCGCCACCACTACCACCACCACCACCACCACAGCCACCACAACGAAGTGATCAGGACCCGGTTACTCTGTGCAATTTTCTGTCCAGTGTCCAGGATTCCCAAAGGCAAGGACCCCAGCCTGACTCACTGCGGGCTCCTGAAGCTGGAGGGCAATTGTATAACCTCTCAGGTCCTGGTAAGTGAGGCTCCTGGGAGGGGAGAGGCTGAGGAGAGAACCCCTGGATCCCATCCCAGCCCCAGATCCAGAATCCCTATCTGCCACCACAGCTTGTCCAATCCTCCTCAGCACCCTCAGCCTTTACTACCTCTGTAGCTACTGCCTCTGGGTGAATTTGTATCAAACTGGGGCTGCAAAGAAGCCTGTCATCTTCTGCAGAGGGTGTCTGACGTGGTGTCAGCCTCTCTTCCACAGTGAGGACGACAGAAGAGGGGGTGGGGATGGTGGGATGTGAGTTGTAGGCTTATCAGCAGATATATTGAGCCCTGGGAGATCGGGAACAGGGAACCACAGCATGGCTTCCTAGTTCCGAATCTTCAGGGTGGGTTCAGAATGTGTTTTGGGGCAGGGAGGGGTCTGCCCCTGACCATCAGACTTGTACTGGGCCCCAGACATGATAAAAAGTCCAGTCCTGATGTGTTCTTTTCTGAGAAACTCCGGGATGAGCTGGGTACAGTGGAGCATGCCTGTAATCCCAGATACTGAGGAGGCTGGAGCAGGAGGCTCAAAACTTTGAGGCCAACCTCAGCAACTTAGTGAGACCCTGTCTCAACCTTAAAAAAAAAAAAAAAAGGCTGAGTTTGTAGATGTATAGTTTAGTAGTACTACCAGAAAAAGAAAAAAGAAACTTTCAGATGAGTAACTTATGCTTGTTTCATCACCAGGTCTCATGAACTCCTGCCTTTCTAGCCTTAACAAACACCCTGGATATTCATGTTTCAAGGTGAGACAGAGCACAAAGGAAGAGAAGCTCTGGCTGAGTGTTTGAGTGTGCCCTTGTGTGTGTGTAGTCCACAGAGGCATCCTTAGCAGGAGACAGGGAAGGGAACTGGAATTATTTCAAAGTCACTCTGAATAGCCAATTTCTCTATTCTCTATTCCTT